GGAGTTCCATTTTTAATGTTTTGAGGTGACTCTATATTGTTTTTCACAGTGGTTGCACCAATCTGTATTCCCACCAACAGTGCATAAGGGTTCCCTTTTCTCCACATCATCACCTACCCTTCATGTTTGATCTTTTATTGATGATAGCCATTTTCACAGTTATGAGGTGACACCACACTGTAGTTTTAATTTGAATCTCTCTGATGATTAGTGACTTAGAGTATCTTTATATATGTTTATTGGCCATTTGTATGTCCTCCTTGAGAAGTAACTACTCAGGTCCTTTGCCCATTTATTGAACTCTATATCTGATAAATTTCTTCTCTCCATTTCATTTAGCTCTTCTGGGACTTGTTTTCTTGTCTACCTATTTTGGCTGCCTATTTGGGTTTGTGTCCACGTATTAGGTATATCTGCTATTACCCCCAATATCTAGGGCAGGACAATGTCAAATGCTGTCTGTGACTGACCCTGAGTACTGTTTGGAGCTATTAGCAATCCACAGCTTGTTGATTCCTTTGCTGGGACTGGGTGCCTTTAGAAAGGACCAAGATGTGCACCAAAGTCTGCTTTTTCTAGCCCAGGTCCAGAAGATTAGGCAAAGACTCCAGAGATCCCCTCTGCTGCCTACAGTAAGATTGTTATTCTAGGTTTTAATTATCCTCAGACTATAGACCACAGAAAGGTATAAACTCCACAGGGTGAGGCAAGAGGTTTCCCAACAGGGTGGGGCAATTGCCCCCCCCCACCCCCAGGCAAAAGCTGCCTGGCTGATAAAGATCTGCCAAAGAAAGGTGTCCTCTGCAGTTTGAGGGAATGACTCAGCACAGGAAACCTGGGTGGTTGCCTTCTGATCTCTAACCCGAGAGACCCTACTCTGAAATCTCCTCATTAAGCTCCAGTCCACCCTGCCCTGCCTCTGCCAGACCCCAAGGTTAGTGGCTGCACACAAAATTTTGTGTGTTGGCCCTTTAAAAAGTACCTGTATCTCTAGCATTGTCTCCCTGGCAGAAAGCAACCCTGCTGCTTTGTTCATAATATATTCTTACAAATCTTTGTATCTCTGTGGCGTCAATAATTACTTCTCTTTCATTTCTGATTTTATTTATTTGGGTCCTTTTCTTTTTTCTTGATGAGTCTGAATAAAGGTTTGTCAATCTTGTTTAACTTTTCAAATAACCAGCTCTTTGTTTCAATGATCTTTTTTTTCTGCTTATCATTTATTTGCTCTCATCTTTATTAATTTCTTCTTCCTACTCTCTTTGGGCTTTATTTGTTGTTCTTTTTCAAGTTCCTTCAAATGTAAAGTTAGATTCTTTATTTGAGATTTTTCTTGTTTCTTGGAGTAGGACTGTAGTGCTATGAATTTCCCTCATAGGACTGCTTTCACTTTGTCCCATAGGTTTTGAGTTGTTGTGTTTTCATTTTAATTTGTTTCAAAGTATCTTTTTAACTTCTTTATTGATTAAGGTATCACATATTTGTTCTCATCCCCCCATTCCCATCCCAAACCCCTCCCCACATGCGCCCCCCGCCCCTGTTTTCTGTGACCATTGGTTAAGCCTATATGCATGCATACAAGTCCTTTGGTTGATCTCTCCCTCTTTCTCCCACCCTTCCCTACCTTCCCTCTAAGGTTTGACAGTCTGATTGATACTTCCCTATTTCCGGGTCTGTTTTTGTTCATCAGTTTATGTTGTTCATTATTTCTCCTAGATGGGTGAGATCATATGATACAAGAAATACACTTATAAGAACTGAAAATGAGACAAGCAATAATGGTTATGCTGGGAGGCAAATGAATCAGTCTGTAGTGAGTTTCATTCTGGGCCAATAGTTCTTTTGAGTCCCAATTTCAATGTCAAACAGTTCCTTATGTGTACGTGTCTGCAATGATATTTTAAAGTATTTTTTAATTTATTACTTATCTCCTTTTATCCATTTATTGTTTAATAACATGTTATATATCCTTTATATTTCTGTGTGTTTTTTCAGTTTTTTTTCTTGTGATTGATTTATAGTTTCATACCATTAAGGTCAGAGAAGATGTTTGATATGATTTCAATCTTCTTAAATTTATTGAGACTTGTTTTGTGTCTGAACATGTGGTCTATCCTAGAAAATGTTGCATGTGCACTTGAAAAAAAATGTATATTCTACTGCTTTAGGGTGAAATGCTCTGAAGCTATCAATTAAATACATCTGACCTAGTGTGTCATTTATGTCTTTAATTTTCTGTCTTGAAGATCTATCCATTGCTGTCAATGAGGTGTTAAAGTCCCCTACTTTGACTGCTTTACTGTCAATCTCTCCCTTTATGTACATCAACATTTACTTTATATTTTTAGATGCTTTTGTGTTGAGTGCATATATGTTTACAAGGTTATATCGTCTTGTTGGATTGCTTCCTTCCTCAACATGTAGTATCTTTTTTGTCTCTTACTATAGTCTTGTTTTAGAGTCTATTTTGTTAAATGTAAGTATTGCTACCCCAGCTTCTTTTCCCTTCCATTTGCATAAAATATATTTTTTCATCCCTTTGCTTTTAGATTCAGTGTATCAGTAATTCTTAAATGGGTCTTTTATAGACAGCATATACATGTGTCTTGTTTTCTTATCCATTTAGCTACCCTGTCTCTTTTAGTTGAAGCATGTAAGCCATTTACATTAAAGTAATGATTGATAGGTAAGTAATTATTGCCATTTTATTCTTTTAACTATGTTCCTCTCTTCCTCCACTTCCTCCTCCCCTCCTACTTCTTTTCTTATTTTCTTCAATAAGGCCCTTTAACATTTCTTACAGTGCTGGTTTTGTGGTATCAAACTTCTTTAACTTTTTTGTTTGTTTGTTTGTTTGTTTGTTTTGTTCTGGGAAGCTCTTTATTTTTCATTCAATTTCAAATTATAGCTTTACTGGGTAAAATAGTCTTGGTTGTATATCCTTGCTTTTCATCATTTTGAATATTTCATTTCAATCCCTTTCTGCCTGAAATACTTCCATTGAGAAATCAGCTGACAGTCTTATGGGAGCTTCTTTATAGCTAACTATCTTTCTCTTGCTGAATTTAAGATTATCTTTTTGTCCTTATATGTTGCCATTTTACTATGATGTATCTTGGTGTGTGCCACTTTGGGTTCATTTTATTTGGCACTCTCTAAGCTTTCTTGTCTTTTTTCCTTCACCAGGATGGGCAATTTTTGGTCATTATTTATTCAAATATGTTCTTAATCACTTGCTCTCCCTCTTCTCTTCCTGGTACCCCTATGATGCAGATGTTACACTCCATTTAAAAAATGAAGACAGTCCCTTAAACTGTCTTCATTTTTTAAATCCTTTTTCTATTTTCTGTTTTTATTGGTTGTTTTTTCTTTTTATTTTCAAATCACTGATTCTATCCTCTTCATTGTCCAGCCTACTGTTTATTTATTCTAATGCAGTCTTCATTTCAGATATTGTAGTCGTCATTTCTGACTGGTTCTTTTTATGATTTATATGTCCTTTTTCATGTTGTTGTAGTTCTCACTAAGTACATTGTAATTTTTACTAAGTTCCTTGAGCATCCTTATAACCATTTTTTTTTTAAATCTTCATCTGATAAGTTGCTTGGCTCCATTTAATTTATCTGTTTTTCTAGAGATTTCTCCTGTTCTTTCATTTGGGATATGTTTCTTCCTATCCACATTTTGCTGCTTCTTTGTTTTTGTTTCTATGTATTAGGTTGATCTGCTATGACTTCCAGCCTTGATAAGTTGGTCTTATGTAATAGGTATCCCGGGGGTCAAGTGGTACAGATTCCTTGATTACTCGATATGGTGCTCCAGGCATGTCCAGTTTATGTTGTCCCTCCTGTTATAATTGAAAACTTGATTTCTATTGGTCTGTTTGTGAATGGGGTCACCCTTCAGCCTGACTGACCGTGAGGATCAATTCCAACCACAGCATGCGAGCTGCTGTGCAGGTACTGGACACCTGACACAGAATTCACCTCAGTAAGATTAGATGCCTACCGAGATTTTCCTTTGGATATGCTACTTGTGAAACTTACTGGATCCTGTTCTCATGCTTTCTGTAGCTGGGCACTGGATGGGTTGTTTCTGCACTTCTAGGAGTGACTCTGGTGCAGGCCCATATCAGACACTGTCTGTGACTGGCCCTGGGTAACCTGTTTGGAGCTAGAAAGTGATCTACAGTTTGTGGCTGTCTGTACTTATCCTGGGGTGCATGGGCAGGACTAAGCTGCACACCAAGGCTAGCTGTTACCACCACCAGGTCCAGGGGCAGATTATCAAAAGTTCCAAAGCACCTTGAGATTTACTTCTGCTTATCTCCATCTCCTGGCTCCCATTATGCTCAATCACTGAAACAGCCTCTGGATGTATTTGATTTGCCTGAGCTAAACTCTAAGTGAGTCACTACATAGGGGCATGACAGTGTTCACCAGGTTGATGCAGATTCAAACATGGTGCCAGTGCTGGTTCTGTGGCCGCTCAGCAAAAGTCCTTAGGTATACTAAGTCTAGCTGCCACCTGCTGGGTATTCAGACACCTTTATGGTGGGGCAGGGTCCCAAGGAATCATGAGGGTGAGGTCAACAAAATTAATCAGTACCAAAGGACCATGATTTGGCTATGTGAAGGAGGGCTATACTTCAGTTGGGCATGCAAGGGGGAAACGGCCCATGTCCTAGAGCCACACAATTTAGTCTGTTTCATATTCTGCCTGGAGGAGCCTGAGCTCAGCAGTGTAGGACTACTGGATCTTGGGAGGACCAATCCAAACAGTCTCCTGTTGGGGGTAGTGTCAGTAAGCCTGTAGGAGGGGGATGGTCACTTATTTCCCTTCCCATAAAGAGTATGTGAGGTAGACATGCACCAAAGAATCCAGCTCTGAATAGCTTTCTGATCCTCCCACGTGACTGAGCTCACATAACAGAAAGCCAGGTCAAATTAGTCTCCAATTAGGAAATAGTGTGGGCTGAGTTCACAGGGGAGATAGGAGTGGCCCCTTGTGATGTAGCCACACAACTCAGCATCCATCTCTCTGTTTCTTATACAAATCCTTCCTAGGAGACATGCTCTGAACATTCCAGCTCTGCATGGCACTCTGATCCTTCTATGGTGGTAGGGCAGTCCAAGTAATTCAAAAGGTGTGGGAATGGTGCCACCTGTGTTTAGATGTGGGGAAGAAATGTCCACTTCCCAGGCTACACAGTTCAATCACTGTCTGAGTCTCCACCAAGAGCTTCCTCAGGAAAAGAGTGCCCTGAAGTTCCCAGCTGAATGCAGCCAGCTGTCCCCTCTATAGGACCTGAGCTCAGCAAGGTGGTATCGCTAGTAATTGAAGGACTAGGTCAGTGGTTGGCAAGCTCGTTAGTCAACAGAGCCAAATACCAACAGTACAAGGATTGAAATTTATTTTGAGAGCCAAATTTTTTAAACTTAAACTTATTCTAACTCCACTTCTTCAAAATAGACTTGCCCAGGCTGTGGTATTTTGTGGAAGAGCCACACTCAAGGGACCAAAGAGCCGCATGTGGCCCAAGAGCTGCAGTTTGCCGACCACAGGACTAGGTTGTGCTGTAACAGTAGGAATGCTTGAACGTGGGAAGGGGGCATGTGGGTCTCTAGAAGACTCCCTTCTCTCATTTTTGTTGCTCTGGGTTGAGAATCCTAGCATAGCTTTGAGACCCCACGCTTTTGGGGAGAGGGAGTTTTACAGCTGAGATATCCCTCCAGCTTCTCAGATCTTTCTGCGTCTTGACCTTTCTTATCAGGCTCTATGTGGTGTCTTCTGTAAATTCTTGGTTATAGCATTTCAGTCCAGCTAGCTTTCAGTTGGTTATTCAGGTTGATTGCCATATAATTTAGCTGTAAATCTGGTTTGACACTGGGAGCAGTTGAGTTTAGCTTCCACCTACTCTGCAGCCATCTTGTAATCCATATATCATTTTTTTTTCTTTCTTTTTTTTCCCAAAAAAGGAACTGTCTTAAATGGTCAGGTATGACGCTGAGAAGCAATGAACATAGGTTCAGTTATATTTTATATTTCTTTTATTTCCTGACCCTTACTGGTTGTATGACCTTGGGCAAGTTTCTTAATCTTTCTATGTGTCATATTTCTCATTTACAAAATGGAAAAATCATTAGATAGTGTATGTAAAGTATGAATGTATTTATGTATGCATGTAAGATACTAAATAAACGTTAGCAAGGTGTTGTTATTATTCAGTTATTCTTTCAGTATTTATTGATTCACCATGTGTCCAACACTCTGTTAGGGACCATGGAAGATATGAGGTACAAAATATGAACCCTTCTCTTGAGTTGCTTAGAATTAGTTGAAGAGATAAAACTAGCATAACATTATACAACTAGAAAATAATACAATTACATGTAAATGTTATAGAAGATCAAATAAAGTACTGTACTTAGGGGAAGGCTTTAGCTCGGCTCCAATGTGCTGCCTTATTGATTAGCATAAAAAATATTTCATATTGCTCTTACCAAGCCTTCAGAGGTCTAGTTTTGATGACTCCTGCCAGATGGAAGTTGATGCTGTGGGAGTGGGTGGAGAATTTGGTATTTACTTCTAAAAATTAAGACAGGATGGCGGATGTGTTTGAGAAGTGAACATATGTGAATAAATATGATACAACCCTTGATTGGTTCCTGATGACTAACATTTAAATGGTTTCCATTGGCAAAGCACAGATATAAGATTTTTCACTTTATGAATCAAGTCATTTAATTTCACCTTGTTAAACCAGAAATCAAACACTGCATAATGATTGCAAACTTATTTTGATGTATATTGATGTACTTTTTTTTCTTTTGCAGGGTCGCTATGGCAACTGCATCTTCTCAAGTTTTGATTCCTGACATCAATTTTAATGATGCCTTTGAAAACTTTGCTTTAGATTTTTCCAGAGAAAAGAAATTGCTAGAGGGGCTAGATTATTTAACAGGTGTGAAAATACTGTGCTTCCTTTCTCACTATATTTTTTTTCTTTTGGTGTGCTTATACTTTAAAATAATTTGGAAAAGACAATATGTATAATGAAAATGCTTTTATAACCTATGAAATGATACATGTGTCTTTTTAAGTAGAACACATTTTAGTTAATGTAACAGAAAATATAGATGATTTGTCAAACATTTCTGGGCAGAATAGATATAACATCCATATTTAAAGGTAAAAAATAAAAAGTTGCTAAAGGATTTCTCCTTATGAACCTATCAGTAATATATTGTTACTTGTTATGGAGGTAGAACTCAGGTGGCAATTATGGAATATTAGAGAATGTCCCACATGGGTACAGATACCACCCAAATGGTTTTAAGGAAACTTTAAGAACTGGCAGATTAGGAAGAAAAATGTAAGAAATATGTGGCTTGCAGACAGTTTTAGAAAATGAGGGAATGCAACCAGCCTTTAAAAATTCTGGCTACATTCAGGATTATTTCAATGATCATTTCCTGAGAAAAATACACACACATAATAACTTTGTAGTTATTTTTGTTAATATATTAAAATGTCATTTATTGAACTTCTACTTTATGCCAGACACTATATATTAATTTTATGTCATGAATCCTTGCAACAAATCTATGATGTAATTATCATCTTTATTTTACAGATGAGGGAACACATATTATTTTTCACTTTGGTATACTGCCAAACATATATAGTAAAACTTACTTTGAAATAAAAAAGTAATAGGTGGAAGGTCATGTAATAAGAAAACTATGTGACCACTTTGGTCTAATATTTACTTGTGTTTGCAGATAGTGTAGACAATTGGTCATTCATCTCAATAACTAAGGCTTATATCTTTGCCTAATGTGTTTTTATCATTGAAGCAAAAGTGAGTTGGGGGAACTTGAGGTCTCTGCCCTTAGCTTTAGGATCTATGGTATGTGAAGTATAAAGCTTCTTATTAAAATCTCAAAACAAGATGTTGGGTTCATCAGCAAAAGTAATGATTATAAAATTCCAAAACAAAAAGTGTGATTTTCTTACCTTCTTTTCTACCTTTTCCTACAGCCCCAAACCCACCATCTATCCGAGAGGAACTTTGTACTGCCTCCCATGATACCATTACAGTCCACTGGATCTCGGATGATGAGTTCAGCATCAGCTCCTATGAGCTTCAGTACACCATATTCACTGGCCAGGCTAACTTCATCAGTAAGTCATGGTGTAGTTGGGGCCTGTGGCCAGAGATAAGGAAATGTAAGGAAGCAGTAAGCTGCTCAAGATTGGCCGGGGCGCCACGAGGCAAGTGTTTGTAAGACATGTTAGGTTGTTTAGAACAGTGTTTTGTAGACAGTATAAGCTCCCCTACGGCATTGTAAAGGGCCCATCAGCAAGTTGTGTATTTCCTTGCTGGGAAGTCACTGGGGCTACTCCCATTTGTTTATGTAATCTTTAGCCTTTCCTCAGTTAATCCATGTCACTCCACTCTTCCAAGTCAGAATAGAGCTCATATTTTGTTCCTGGGTAGCTAAGCCACCATCATTGTTGATTCCATGTGTGTGAACATCTCTCCCCTTGACTTTTCTTCCACTTCATTACCATAGTAAAATACTTTATGTTCAAAGACTACTACTTCCTTTACATACCCATTTGTATTAGTAAATATAGTGACAAGTTTCCTGCCTCTGTCACTATTCCCTTTACCCCTTCTCCCTTTCCTCAAAGAATTACACCAAATATAAAAACTTGTCAGTGGGCTAGAAAAATGACAGATGTTCAAAAAGCAGTCATTTTGCTTTTATGGTTTCACCTTCTGATGAATTGGATCAAGACAGGGCAGAGTAAGAACTTAACTCATTGATTGCCAGGTAAGAGGGTTCAAGGTCCAAATTTCCCTCAATGCACTGGGGGAAGATGGAAATGAAAGCAGAACTGATTCCCATCTGCGTAGCTGCTAATTAGTATTTTCTTTTACCTGTGTGTTTGTGCTTCTGTTTCTAACTTCACAGGCTTGCATGAGAGGAGTTTTTCCAGTGAAACCCTCCTGATAGGCTTCCTTTTGCTGAATTGTGACAATTCTGGGCCACGTAGTGGGGTGGAGAGGTGAGAGGATATTTGGGGTCAAACTCTCAAAAACACTTGCCTCGTGCAGTTCCAACCTAAGCCACTTAGCCAAGATAGCTGTGATCTTGGGTGTTCTTGGGTATTTCTTCATTTTGTGAAGTCACAAACTCTAAGGCCTTCCCGACATGCTTTTCTGCACTTGTCTCTCTTGCTCAGGAAAGTCTTAGAGCCAGCAACGGTGCTTCTTCTTCCTAATATGGGGAGAACAGTGGTCTCCTAGTGTTGAGAATAAGTTCAAATAGTGGCAAAGATCTAAAGGCTTCCACCTTTATTTTAAAGGTTATATAGTCCTTTGTAAAGAAAAGCTTAAAGGTTAATTGTTAATAGCAATGGGATCATAGCATCTTAGAATTCAAAGGGGTGACATTGGAAGTCATTTATACTAATATTCTTTTGTTCTACTACATTCCCAATAGATAATTATTCTGTCTCTGATTGAACATTTTCAGTAATGGATATTTCACTTCTCACAAAACAGCTTAATTAGTTAAACAGCTGTAAATGATTGTCATGCTTCTTTATACAAGGTCTAACTTTTTTCCTAGTAAATAATGACAATAATAATTTACACCTGTATTATGTTTTGCAATATACAATCATTCCCACATACATTATTTTATTTAGTCCTCCTGAGTTCTTACTTAGCCTTATGAAATAGATGATATTAATTCTATTTCATAGATGAAGAAACTGAGGGTCAGAATGAATTGCCCAAGGTCACAAAGCTACAAACTGATGGAGTCAAGATTTAAACTCAAGCCTGTCAGACTTCAAGCTAATGCTCCTTATGTTAAGCCACACCTACCAAATAGTCCTCAGCCTGCCATTTTATGCCTCACTAACAAACTGAATCAATCTTTCAAATGACAGTTATTCAGATAATTTTAGGTAGTTCTTGTGTATCTTATAAATTTTCTCGTTTCCAGGCTAAACATCCTCAGTTATTTGAATTGCTTCTCATGTTTCAGACCTTTTGCCATCCTAGTAGTCTTGGTATGGTCACACTGCTACTTATCAAAATGGCTCATAATATAGCCCTGGCCAATGTTGCTTAGTGGTTAGAGTGTCAGCCTGTGAACCAAAGGATCACGTGTTCAATTCCCGCTCAAGGGCACATACGTGGGTTGCAGGTTCCATCTCATCCCCCAGTCTGGGCACTTGTAGGAGGCTACCAGTTGATTTGTCTCCCTCACATCAATATTTTTCTCTCTCTGTACCTCTCTCCCTTCTCCCTCCTTTCCACTCTAAATAGCAATGGAAAAAATCCTTGGGTGAGGATTTAAAAAAAGGTAAACACACTCCCAAAGTAGTCTGACCATTTCAGGGAATAGCTGGGTTATTTCTCTGTATATTACCTGTTGCCCTTCTCCTTGGAAACTTTTATTTTTTTACTAGTGGCTTGGTGCACAAAATTCATGCATGGGGTTGTCCATCATCCTGCCTGCACCCTCTCCAATCTGGGACCCCTCAGGGGATGTCTGACTGCCACTTTAGGCCTGATCCCTCTTGCAATTTGGGACTGCTTGCTAACCACTCACCTACCTGTCTGCCTGCCTGCCTGATCGCTCCTAACCACTCTGCCTGCTGGCCTGCTCACCCCCAACTGCCCCCCCATCTGCTCACCCCCAACTGTCCCCCAACTGCCCCTCAGCCAGCCTGCTTGCCCCCAACTTACCTTCCCATCCTGGCCTGATTGCCCCTAAATACCTCTGCCTCAGCCCGGCCACCATGGCTTTGTCTGGAAGGATGTCCAACAGGTCTCCTGGAAGGTCTCCCGGTCTAATTAGCATATTACCCTTTTATTAGTATAGATTTTTTAGTGAATAGGAAATTGATTATTCAGTGTTGGCTGAGCAT